GGCAAAAGCTACCCCTAATGTACATCCCAGCTCCCCTCTCTCTCTCTTTTTTTTTTTTTTTTGTACCGGGGATCGAACTCAGAACCTTGCACTTTCGAGGCAGGCAGCTGCACCACTGAGCTAAATCCTTGGCCCCAGCCCCTCTCTTTTTAAAATTTTTATTTATTTATGTTTTGAGCCAGGTTAGCCTTGAACTCACAATGCAGCCCAGGCTGGTCTCACACTCATAGTGATTGTCCTGCCTCAGCCTCCCTAGTGCTGGAATTACAGGTGAGCATTGCCACACCCAACCCCAGCCTCTATTAACCTCTTATAGATACTTGTCATTGGATTTATGCCCCCCCCTATAATCCAGGATGATCTAATTTTACAGGACTTAATACATCTGCAAACATTCTGCCCTAACAAGATCACAGTTTGTAGTTCAGGATTTAGATTGCAGGTCACCATGGAAGCCATGAAAGTTCCTGGGTGCTGAGCAGGGTGCTAGGTACTTCCCATAATTTCACCAGGGTCCACTGCAGCCCTGTGAAGCATTTGTTTCTTCCATCTTCCCGATGTGATCAGAGAGGTGCCGAACACTACCCACAGCCACAAGATTCTAATCATGCTAGGTCAGACCCCTGGGTCTGATTCTAAGTGAGCCACCAAAGAGGCTTCTGGGAGCTGGGCATGATGGAGCACATCTGTGAATCCCAGCACTTTGGAAGCTGAGGCAGGGGGATCGTGAGTTTGAGCCCAGCCTGGTCAGTTTAGTTCTTAGCAATACCCTCTCTCAAAATTTAAAAATCAATTTTGAAAAGGGCTGAGGATGTAGCTCAGTGCAAAGGCCCTGGGTTCACACCCCTGTACTACCAAAAAACAAAACAAAAAAAACACTACACCTGGTGGCACACGCATATAATCCCAGCATAGGGGGAGGCTGAGGCAGGACCATTGTGAAAGACTCAAGGCCAGCCTGAGCTACCCAGTGAGTTCAAGGCCAGCCTGAACGAGAATAGAGACCCTGTCTCAAAGAACAACAACAAAGCCTTCTGCAGCTGGGGGTGCACTAGGTTCGGTTATTGTTTTATTTTGTTCTGGTTTTTGAGACAGGGTCTTGCACTGTCATTCAGGCTGGCCTTGAACTTTCAGTGGTCCTCCTGCCTCAACCTCTGGAGTGCTGGAATCACAGGAATGTGCCAGCATGAGCCACCATGCCAGGGGAAGTTAGGCTATTTGGAAAGAGACTTTGCTTAATGTATGTTAGGCCCAGGGTTCCATCCTCAGCACTGAAAAAAAAATAGCAGAAAGACTCTAGGTTCTGTGTCACAGACAAAGCAGGCAGCAAATATCTGCATTTCTTCTTCTGTCCCTAGGCCCAGCATCAGTGACACAGAGAAAGGGCAGATGGCTGTGCCCAGAGGAGTCACCAGAGAAGAGGCAGAGGTGAGGGCGAATGAGTCATCGGCCCTTTAGAAATGGCACAGTCAGCCGCACCTGGCCTTCCGGAGCTGGGATCAGGAGTGCACATGGGAGGAAAAGGCAAAGGGCAGCAGGGCTCTCCCCACAGGGAGCATGGCCTGCAGAGGCAGCACTGGATTCCCGCCCTGCCAGGCCTGAGGCACTCAGCTGATCTTCCCGTTATATGGACAAGGAAGCCAAGGCACAGAGAGGTTGAACAACCTCGCAGGCTTGCACAGCGGGGCCAGGTCAGAGCTGGGCTCCAAACTTCCAGCTGCCCAGCATCAGAGCTCATCCTGTTGTTGGATTTTGAACTGAGGTGAACTTTACCTCACATCCAGTGATGGTCTTTTGTGGTGGGGTGGTGGTGATCAGTCTGTGTAGGCCACATGCAGTGTTGCTCAGCTGCACTCCCAGCTGCAAAGCCACAGGCGTAGAGCATGTGTGCTCCCGACACCCTGCAAGGGACACCTCTGCTGGTTCTCAAACTGTCATCATTGGCACCAGGCCCGTGTGCAACCTTCACCCTGGTCCCTCTTCTCAGCCCTAGAAACCACAAGTTGTCTTCCTGTCTCTGTAGATCCGCCTGTAGGCGCTTTGTATAAATGGGATCACCCAGGGCCGGGGATTTAGCTCAGTCATGCTGCCGCCTGCCTCGCACACACAAGGTCCTGAGTTCGATCTCTGGTAACAATCAATCAATCAATCACTCAATAAAATGGAATCACACAGCATGTGGCCTGTGGAGTCTGACTTCTCTCAGAATCATGGGGCTTTTATTGTTTGTTGGGATCCTGAGGCAGGAAAATCATGAGTTCAAGGCCAACCTGTGCTACATAGTGAGACCCCAAAATAAAATAAACAAATAGGGTTGGGTAGGTAGCCCAGTGCTCCTTGAGCGGGGGGAGTAAAAAAGCAAAGGTGCTAGGTTTGGGTGTGGTTGGTACATGTCTACATGTCCACCATCCCAGCACTCGGGAGGCTGAAGCAGGAAGATTGCCGCGAGTTTGAGGCCAGCCTGGACTACATAGTGCGGTCCTGCTTCAAAAAAACAAAACAAAACAAGATTGTAAATTTTATGTTTTGTGTATTTTCCACTAGACATTTGAACATCAGCTGGACTGTGTGATCTGCCCTCCAGACTCTTCTAAGGTTCCAGTTTGAGAGCACTGGTACAGGTTGTTGGAAGAGTTGGAAACACAACATAGTTACGAAACACTGCAGCGCTGCTGGGTCCCAGGTCTGTCTGGGAAACATTCCCTATTGTCGCTGTTTATTAGTTTTGTAGTCCTGCAGATGGAGCCCAGGGCCTTTTGTTAGCTAGGCAAGCACTCTACCGCTCAGCGACACCCCAGACCTTTTCATTTTTTATTTTATGACACTAAGTTGCCCGGGCTGGCCTCAACCTCGACATCCTCCTGCCTCAGCTTCCCCAGTAGCGGGGATGACAAGTGTTGGCCACCATATGACTGACTGATAGTGGGGCTGGGGATGGAACTCAGAGCCTCCCTCAGGCCAGGCCCGCGGTTGCCACTGAGGGGCGCCCCTGCCCCTGTTAATGATTTTGTAAGGTGCAGGCGTCCCAGCCCTGCAGGCCCTGTTTGTGCCCTGTCACTGCGCCTGCTGGCTCGCCTGCCTGCTTTCCCCAGAGCACACGGAGAGCTTTCTACATCCGTCTGTCAAGCTGATGGGGCCACGCGGCATCACCCTGGCCCTGGCAAAGGTTATCGCCGGCTGGAGATGGAAAGGTCGGGCTGGTGCGGGGAGATAACGACTTCCCCCGCTCCCTGGGGCGCATAAATGGGCCGCTCGGCGAGGCGCTGCGCCCCTTCATCCCGCGTCCTCGTGAGCGATGGCCCGGCGTGCGCTGCTCCTGCTGCTGCTCCTGCTCCTGGTGATGCGGGTTCCCGGGGCCCAGGCCCGGGCCACCGCCTATGGGGTGAAGCTGTGCGGACGCGAGTTCATCCGCGCTGTCATCTTCACCTGCGGGGGCTCGCGGTGGAGACGCATGGACTCCTTGGCGCACGAGGCCGCGGGTGAGCGCGGGCCGGAGGCGTGGGGACCACGGAGGCCACCCATCCGCCTGCTGGTCCATCCAACCTTCCATCCTCCCATCCGTCTGTGTCTGTGCATCCATCTGTCATCCACTTCCCAGTGCCCGGGGCCCAACTGGCGCCAGCGGAGCTGAGGCGGCTTCCAAGTCCCCGGGCTGGGAGGGTATGGACTTTGCTACTTAGGGGCCACCCCTGCTCAGCACCTCTCTCTCCCTACTGGGCCGCTCCACTGTGACCTTGCCTGCTTAGTAAAATGGTTAGGTTGGAAAAGGTAGGGCACAGGCTTGGGGTGGGCTCCAGCAGGAGGGCCAAGCAGGAGAGCATGCAGGCAGCTTGTGGGCCTGCGAAGGGACAGACGTTCATTAGGATGAGGATGAGGGTGGGTGGACGGATGATGATGATGAGGGATGGAGGGATGGACATGAGCACAGAGCCGGAAAATGCATTGCCTGAGTTCAAATAGTGGCCCTGTAGCTAGACATGGTGGCCCACACCATAATCCCAGTACTCAGGAGGCCGACGCAGGAGGATTGCCAAGAATTTGAGGCTGGTCTGAACTACAGCACAAGATCCTGTTTAAAAAAAAAAAAAATAGTAGCCCCACACCTTAATAGCTGTGTATTCTTACAAATTCCTGAGTCATCCTTCAGTGATCTCCTCTGGAAAGTGGGGGTGATAATAACAGCACCCACCTGATGTGGCTGTCACTGCTAGGAATAAAGGAATTCACCCCAAGACAGTTAAAACAGTGCCTGGCACTTGATAACAGCTCAATATATATCAATGATTGATCAGTAAATTTTATGCTTTTTTTTGCTTGTTGTGTGCCTGAGCTTGTTATAGATTTTTAGAATTGGTATTCAGTCCTCTGGTCCTTATAAAATTCAAGGAAATAGGAATTATTATTGTCCCCACTCTGAAAGAAACTGAGGCTCAAGTCTACTTGCTCACAATTATAGACAGGCTAGTGCCCAAATATGTGCTTTCAACTATGGGATCCTCAATAAATAAAGAGTAGGGGAAATAAATGACAGGAAAGTCAAGCTTAGTAAAGTTGAGTAACGGCAGAGCCAGTATTTAAACTCAGGACTGCCCGCAATCATAACCTTGAATTACAAATTTGGCCAGGTGGTCAGCCAGGAGCTGGGGATGGCAGCAGCTGAGCCTGAGCCCTGACTCTCCTCCTCCTTTACAGCAGATGCCTTCGAAGATGTGGACAGCAATGGAGACAGCCTGGCGGGAGAGCTAGATGATGCTGTGGACTCCAGTGAGTGGCTGGCCCTGGCCAAGTCCGCCCAGGCCTTCTATGGTGGCCGACCCAGCTGGCAAGGCACCCCCGGGGCTCTGCGTGGCAGCCGGGACGTCCTGGCTGGGCTCTCCAGCACCTGCTGCAAGTGGGGCTGCAGCAAGAGTGAGATCAGTAGCCTCTGTTAGGCCAAGGCTGCCCAGCCGGAGACACTGGCAGTGCTGTCCCAGCATCGCCACCCTCAGCCTCTGTCCCCAGGCCTGTCTTTCCAACCTGTATCTTCGTGTATCTGCAGGACCCAGAGGCATGGGCAGTGGCTCGGGTCACCACACAACCAGCCCTGACCTCAGACCCCCTGCACTGTGCCTCGAGCCAGCTGCACCCCACTGAGCCCACGGAGACCCTGCCCTCTCCACCTGGCCCTCTCAGACCCCTGCTTCTCCCTGGTCCCCACTGCACCCAAAGTGGGCCCTCTGAGCCCTTGTCCCTAGCCCCAGTGCAAACCAGCTGCCCCTCTTCTCTGGTAGCAGCCCCTCCCCTGTCCTCCTACTGGTGGTGGGTCCCCGTGGTGAGGACGTCATGGACGGTGCACGATCCTTTCCTGCCCGGATAATAAAATCTACGAGGACTCCAGTAGCGTGTGTTACTGCTGGGGCGGGACAGGTTTTGGGGAGCTCTGCGCCGTGCCCCCCTCCGCTGCGCTCGGGACTTTCCGCTAGGGAGAGGCGGGGACGCGCGGGGGCAGCAGCGAGGGTGGCCCAGCTTCCTGTCCCCGCCTTGGGCTGCGAGGCCTGGGGTCCCCAGGAGCCATGAGGGGTGCGCTGGCTGCCTCCCTCCGGCCACTGTCGCTGCTGTGGCTGGTGGTGGTGCTGCTCCCCCGGACTTGCGCCCAGGGTGAGTGGGCGCGGGCTGGGGCCAGGGTCCCGGGGTCTCTGCCCGCCCAGGGCTACAGAATGAGAGGGAGCGGCCGGGGTGCGGGGGATGGGGTGGGAGCCCTGGGTGACAACAGGATGTGGCTGGCGGCGGGAAGGGGAGAAGGTCCGCGCAGAGCCGAGTGGGGGTGCCCAGCGCCCTTCCCTGCGCGCCGTCAGGGATCGCGGGCTGCAGTGGTGAGAAGTCCGACCCAAGTTCTGCGAAGTGGGGCCGGGGCAGAGCCCTCGAGGGTACCCCAGCATCCACAAGACAGTGAAGGAAAAGATGTTCTGAGAGCTCGGAGCGGTGACGAGGGGAGGGTGGGGACCTGACCGCCCGCGCCCCCTCCAGGCAGCGCTGGGCTGCTGCAGTGCTTCAGAGTGGGACCCCGGCAGGACCTGAACTGCTCCTGGGAGCCTCTCAGGGACTCGGGAGAGCCCGTCGTCCTGCACTTCCGAAGCCAGAAGTAGTGAGTATACTAGGGCCGTGCGGGGGAACGGAGGCAGCGGGAGTAGCCACTCTGGGACTCAGAAGGGGCTCTGCTCCCTTCAGCCTCCCCGCGCTCTCAAGCCTCCCCCAGCCTGTGGCCCTGGGCCGGCCACTGGCCCTCGCTGAGCCTGCTTTATTCCCCTGCTGAACGGCAGCGGGAGTGGAGTCCTGCTTCCCGGGGCTGGCTCTGCCCTGCAGGGAGCAGGCATGTGGCGGGAGCTCGCCGGGTAGGAGGGAGCTGGCTTCCTCCTCGCTGTGTGGCCTCAGCAAGCACCTGACCCTCCCTAAGCACAGGAAAGATGCTCCGAGGCTTGGCATTGCCGCGCTGAGAGAGGACAGCGAAGCCTGGCTCCCGTGCGGTTGTCCTGATGGCGAACCTCATGGGAAACGCAGAATTTACAAAGGCAGTGGCAGATACAGAGGGTCCCGGGGCACCGTTTTCCCTCCCTGTCTCTTTCCTTCCTGGGTTTTGTTTTGTTTTGATTTGGTTAGGTTTTTTGAGACAGGGTCTCACTATGTAGTTGAGACTGACCTGGAACTCACTATGTAGCCCAGGCTGGTCTCGAACTCACAGTGATCCTCCTGCCTCAGCCTCCCGAGTGCTGGGATAACAGGCATGTGCCACCATGCCCGGCCTCTTCCTTCCTTTCTGGTACTGCAGATTGAACCCAGGTACATGCTAGCCGAGAACCCTGCCCCTGGACTGCATCCCCAACCCTTCTTTAATTAATTAATTAACACATTTATTTTCAAGACAGTGTCTCTCTGTGTAGTCCAGGCTGGCCTTGAAGTGGCAGTGATCCTTCTGCCTCAGCCTCCCAAGTCCTGGGATTACAGGCATGTGCCATGGTGTCTGGCTTATTTTTGGTGCATATATATAACAAAAATTGTCATTTTCAGCCTTTCCTTCTTTATGTCTCTCTTTCTTTCCCTCCCTCCCTCTCTTCCTCCCTTCATTTCTTTTTTTGGTAGGGTCTCACTATGTAGCCCAGGCTGGCCTCAACTCACTATCCTCCTGCCTCAGCCTCCCGAGTACTGGAATTATAGGTATGCACCACCACACCTGGCTCTTCATTTTGGTTTTGAGATGGGGTCTTGCTGTGTTTCCCAGGCTGGCCTCAAACACCTGGGCTCAAGGGATCTTCCTGCCTCGGCCTCCTGTCCCTAGCTTGGTTGTCCTTTCCATCACAGATACCACCTGATATAGCATCCATTATATCTGACTCCTTCCCACGTGAGAAGTGACACCAGCTTCAGACAGCAGGTCTTTGGCTGTGTTTGTCATACTTCTGTCCCAAGCTTCTAGAACAGGGCCTGGTACAAGACATACCAGCAGCTGACCAGTTTCATGGGTTTGTAAAGAGAGAGAAGGAAACATAATGAGCAATTCTCATGTAAATGTACAGATGTGTGGGTGTGGTGGCACACGCCTTCCGTCCCACTCCCCGCCAGAGGCTGAGGCAGGAGGATCATGAGTTCAAGACCAGCCTCAGCAACTTAATGAGACCTTGTTTTAAAATGAAAAATAAAAAAAAGCTGGGGATGGAGCTTAGTGGTAGAACAGTTCTGGGTTCTATCCCTAGGACTGCAAAAAACCGAAGCACTTTTGTGATAAAGTGTTCAATAGCTCATGTAACTTATTGAATGTTGTACTGTAAGTGAAAATCTGTATCGCCGGCCCAGAAAGAGATAAAAAGGTTAAAATGTTTTTTTCAGTGGGGAGGATGGAACCCAGGGCTCACACATGCTAGGTAAATGCTCTACCACTGAGCCACACCCCCATTCCCAAAATTCAAAAACTATTGGTTTTGCAATACTAGGGATTGAATCCAGGACCTTAGCACCGAGCTACATTCCCAGCCTTTTTTATTTATTTATTTTTTAAAGACAGGTCTTGCTAAGTTGCCCAGGCTGAGCTCACACTTGTGATTCTCCTGCCTCAGCCTCCCAGAGTGCTGGGATGACAGACATGCACTACCATGCCTGGTCCCAAAATTCAAAATCTGAACTCTGATTTCTGTTGCATTCCCATTCCTTGCCCCTGTTCTAAAGCAGTAGCGCACAGTAGAGCCCGACTGGCTTGCTGTGTCCCCAGCACCCTGTGAGCCACTTCCATGTCTGCTGACACCCTCTGAGCCATCACTTACATCAGGCACGGTCTTGGGAGTGAGGGGCTGAGGCAGAGAGGCTGAGAGAGGTCGTCTCCTCCAGTCACACAGCTCTAAAGCAGCAGGTCCAGGTTTTGGGTCCCACAGAGCAGGGTGTAGCCCTCGGTCAGTTCTCGGGTGTCACCTCGGCGCCCTCCAATGTCCCACAGCGACTCCAACAGAACCCGGATGGTGGAAGTGCCTGTGGGACAGAGTTGGGGGACCATTGCTCGGAAGAAGTTCACAGAGGCAGACCAGCTGCTGGTCTGGGGGACACGAGGAGGCCGGCCTCTCTGGACCCCAGTCCTCGTGGACCTGGAAACCCGAGGTAGGCGGCAGAGGCGGGGGGTCTGTGAGAGGCCACAGGGCCCCTCCCTCACTGCATACTGCCCCTCACCCCCAGTGAAGCCCGACGCCCCCCAGCTGATACCCGGTGGCGTGGACTTCTTAGAGGATGCACCGCTGGAGGCTACTGTGCGGTGGCAGCCGCCCAGATGGCCACCCAAGGCCCTGGCCTGTCAGTTCTACTACCAGAGGTGCCCGGAGCAAAGCTGGTCCCTGGTAAGTGTCTGTGCCCCACCCATCCTGGCGGGACCTGAGGCCAGGTGCCCACCCAGCAGGCCCCCCTAAAAGTTTTCTTTTCTTTTTTTAAAACTCATTGTTTATTGGCACATTTTGGGTCTACAGTATGATGACATTCATTACTGGAGACTTGTACCTTTACGTGATATATCTTGGTTCTTATTTTTTCCCCCTTCCCCTGCCCTCCCTCCACCCCCTCCACCCCTCCCTATTTACAAAGACTTTGTTTCCATTTTTTCCTTTCCCCTACCCCTCCCAGTTCCCCTTTCCCCTTTAGACCTTTTATTCCTTTTTCACTTTATCAATTATACATTTTTGTTTTTTTGTTTTGTTTTTTGAGACAGGGTCTCACTATGTAGTTGAGACTGACCTGGAATTTACTATGTAGCCCAGGCTGGTCTCAAACTCACAGTGATCCTCCTGCCTCAGCCTCCCGAGTGCTGGGATTACAGGCGTGCACCACCACACCTGGTTTATTATACATTTTGATCCTTATTTACACTTTCACTTTCTCACACCAGAGAAACTATTCGGTATTTACTCAAGTGTGTCTTATCTATTTCACTTAAGAGTATGGCTTCAATGTGCATCCATATAGCTATAAATGTCTCTAGTTTCTCACTCTTCACAGCTGAATAGTACTCTGTTTCATTAAAAACTCAAACAAACAAAAAAACACATCTTCTTTATCCAGTCTCCAGTTGATGGGAGATTGGGTTGTTTCCAAGTTTTAGCTATTACAAACTGTGCCACTGTAAACATGGGTGCACATACATCACTGTGATATGATTCTTTTAGTTCTCTTGGAAAGATACCCAGCAGAGGGATGGCTGGGTCAAATGGAACCTCCAGTCCAAGCTCTTTGAGGTATCTCCATATTGATTTCCATAGTGATTGCACTAGTCTGCACTCCCACCAACAATGGAGAAGGGTTCCTTTCTCCCCACAGCCCCACCAACATTTCTTATTGTGTGATTTCTTGATAGCAGCCATTCTTTGTGGGGTGAGGTGGAATCTCAGTGTTGTTTTCATCTGCATCTCTCGAATGACCAGTGATGTGGAACATTTTTTCATATGTTTATTTGCTGTTTTTACTTCTTTGAGAAATGTCTGTTCATTTCAGGTGCTCAGTTTTGAATTGGGTCTTTAAATTTGGGGGTCTGATTTTTTTTTAAGTTCTTTATACATTCTAGGTAGTATCTTTTGTGGAGGAACATCTGGTAAAATTTTTTTCCCAGCTAAAAGCTTTCTATCCCAGCACTCAGGGAGGCTGAGGCAGGAGGATCATACTGGGCAACTTAATGACTTAGCAAGACGCTATCCTTCCTCACTAAGTAATTTACAGGGGCCAGGAATTTAGCTCACTGGCACCTTGCAAGCACAAGGTCCTGGTGCTTGATCCCTGGTGCTGTCAATAAAAACCCCAAACAAACAACAACAACAACAACAACCTACAGTCCTCCGTATCCATGTGTCCCACAGCCTCAGATTCAACCATTTCAGTATTGAACATCTCGGTGGGAGGGAGATCAGATAGGCACTGCACATGTACTGGTGATTTGTTTTCTCAGTGGGATTCCCTACACAATACAGTGAGAAAACTGTGCACGGTGTTGGAGCAGCGTCTGATGTTCTCTGTGTGCAGAGGTGCTAAGGCTGCAGAGAACGCAAGCAGGTTTTAGCAACCCTGTGCCACTGATAGACCTGGGCACCCAAGGCTTTGGGGTCATGGAACCCTCCCCTGGTGGATACCAGGGGCTCACGGTTCAGGTGTCATGCAATGAGACCCAAAGTTCACTTGGCATTTTTGACAAATTCAGTAAACCTCCCCTAACATTTTTAAAAAAAGAATAGAAGTCTCAGATGGTTTAAATTAACTTTAAAATGATAATAACTAACAAGAGGGAACATTTAAGAGAACATCTCCTGGATGTCTGATGCTGCTAAAAAATAAAATAAAATAAAAGCTGCTAAGCTGGGCATAGTGACTATAGTCCCAGCTACTCAGGAGGCTGAGGCAGGAGGATCACTTAAACCCCAGGATTCAAGACCAGCCTATGTAATATAGTCTCAATAGAAAAACCAGGTATCCATTTTATACTTGGGGAAGCTGAATCTCAGAGAAGTTAGGCAACTTCTCCGAGATCACACAGCAGGAAAGTAGAAGACAAATCCAGAACAAGAGGATCTCAGAAGGATTGGGGGACCCATGCATGCACTTTAATGCACAACCAGGAAGTTGGGTGTCTTATTATCTGTGCTACGCTCTTGCCTGAGAACATAGTCACATGGCCTCATCTGACTGCATAGGAGGCCGGGATGCGTAATCTTTATTCTTGTCAGCCATGTTCCCAGATACTGCTCCAGGGTTCTCTTTGTGAAGAAAGATGGGAAAAAGAGACATTGGGGATTGTCAACTGCTATGGCCACAGATTTTGACACAAAACACTGCAATAAAGAGCAGAGTTGTGGAGAGCACTTTCCCAGCATGCACCAGGCTCTGGCTTCCATCCTCAGCACCAAAAAAAAAAAAAAAAAATTGTTGTCATTGTGATTGTTGGTGCCGTTCAGAGCAGCTCTTGATACAGATGTGAGAATCTGGCTGCCTGGATAAAATACTCACCTGCAGCTCCCTGTTCTGTGACCTTGAGTAAGAACTCACTACCCACTGCTACATTTAACTACCATTCTGTCTGCCTGTGATTGTACCATTGGGGGGTGGTGCTGGGGGTGGAGCGACTTAGTAACATGCTAGGCAAGCTCTCAGCCACTGAGTTGCCCCTTAGCCCTTTTCATTTTTTAAGAATTTTGGGGGGGCGGTACCAGGGATGAACTCAGGTCCTTGCGCTTGCGAAGAAGGCGGCAGAACCACTGAGCTAAATCCCTGGCCCTCTTTTCATTTTTTAAATTCCGAGACAGTGTGTTGCTATACTATACAGGCTGGGCTGGAACTTGGGATCCTCCTGCCTCAGCCTCCCGAGTAGATTGGATCACAGGCGTGCACCACCGTGCCTGGCAGGACTTTGCCACTAAAAGCTTCAGTGTTCTGTACCCTTTTCGTCCTGGGCCCACCCAGACGGCTGGTCACCAGCTCAAGCACCCTGGGCTTTGCACTGGGGCCTGGCTCTTTGTTCCCTCTTGCAGCTGGAGCCGGAAGTGGAGACCGTTCCACTGAGCCCCGTGGAGATGCAGGAGCTGGAGCTCACCTCTGCCTACAAAGTGCGTGGCCGCTGTAGAGTGGAGCCGGAAGGAGACCTGTGGGGCGAGTGGAGCCCAGCCTTTCACTTCCAGACCCCGCCCGCTGGTGAGGCCCCGGTTTACCCCACCTCCGCTCCTCCAGGTCACCGGGCTGTTCATCAGCTCCCATCCCATCCTTCCAGCCCCAAAGGACGTATGGATCGCAGGGAACCCGTGCGCGACCCCAGGCAGCCAGACAGCCTTGCTGGTGTGGAAGGTGAGCTCCGCGCCCAGGTGCCTTTCTCCAGGGCGCCCCCAAACAGCGCAAGGCGGACGGAACGTAGTCTCTGCTGCTCCCCTGCAGGCAGATACGGGGGTTGCAAGCGGGCACTTGGGAGATCCTGGCTGTGGGCCCGAGATAAGGAGCCGCAAATTTAGGGTCTGGAAGCGAGACTGGCGCTCAAAAGCCTGCATCAGAGGGGTGGTGGGAGGTGGCTGAGAAGGGCCAGGCACGCCGGCTGGTGCACAGCTGTAATCCCAGCTATTCAGGAGGCTGAGGCAGGAGGATCGAAAGTTTGAGCACCGCCTGGGCAATTTAGTGACTTAGGGAGACCCTGCCTCAAAATAAAAAAGAGTGGGGATGTAGCTCAGTAGTGGAGGACTTGCCTAGCATGGGTGAGGTCCTGGGCTCCATCCTCAGCAGGGGAGGAAAAAGCAAAAAAGGCTGTGACAGTCCTCCTTAATTCATATTTATCAAGGACCTATTATGTGTCACATATCATTAAGTCCTTGACCTCACTGGGCATAGGCTTGTAATCCCTGCACTCTGAGAGGCTGAGGCAGAAGGACCTCCATGAGTTGGAAGCCAGCCTGATCTACCCAATGAGAACCTACCTCAAAAAACACTTTTTTAAAGGACCTATGGTGTCACATATCATTAAGTCCTTGACCTCACTGGGCATAGGCTTGTAATCCCTGCACTCTGAGAGGCTGAGGCAGAAGGACCTCCATGAGTTGGAAGCCAGCCTGATCTACCCAATGAGAACCTACCTCTCAAAAAAC